ACACAGACTCAGACCATGACAGACATTTGTAAGGTCAAGTGTCTGTACTTTGCATCAAGTTTGGTTAAAATAAGAAGCACTTAAACATAGCAAGACAAGAGGAAGAAACAATCTTTTATTTGGAGCCTTATGATTGTTAATCATAAGGCGCTTCACAAGAACGAAGATTAAAAAATAAACTTGCAAAAATGAAAAAAATATTAAAATTGGAAAAGTAAAAATTGTGATTAAAAACTGTGAGGAAAGGCAAAAAGAAAATGAACAAGAAAGAGGCAATCGGTGAATTCCAGGAAAGGCAGAATTAGTAGAAAGAGCTGACTGAGGAGAAAGTTATGATGAAGAATCAACTGAAGGTCACACAAAAACCAGCCTGATCAGGTGAGTCTTCAGCTGATTTTTAAAGGAGACCACTGAGTCCAGTGATCTCAGGCTCAGGGGGAGAGAGGTCCAGAGTCTGGGGGCCACAGCAGCAAATGATCTGTCACCTTTGGTCTTTAGCCTGGTGCTGCACAACCAGTAGGCTTCGATGGTAAATGGCCTGTATTTGTAGAGCGCCTTCTTAGGGTTCTGCGGCCCCCCAAGGGGCTTCACAACACAATCAGTCATTCACACGCTGCGCTGGTGGTGATGAGCTACGATGTAGCCACAGCTGCCTTGGGGCCACTGACAGAGGCGTGGCTTGCCGACTACTTTCTCCACCGGTCCATCCGACCACCACTAGCAGGCAAGAAGAAGAAGAAAGTATCATTTCTATAACGCCTCTCAAGACAAAAATCACGAGGCGCTTCACAAAAACAAAAAATGTAAAAATATAAAAAAGCATTTAGAAAATGTTTAAAAATATATTTAAAATGAGCAAAAATAGACAATTGTGATTAAAAAATGTAAAGAAAGAGAGAGAGTGAACAGGAAAGAGGGAAATCAGTGGATCCTGATGAAGGTGGAATAGTTGGGGAGAGCAGAATAAAGAGAGAGTGGTGAAGAAGGTCATACAAAAGCCAGCTTGAACAAGTGAGTCTTCAGCTGCTTTTTAAAGGAGACCACTGAGTCCACTGATCTCAGGCTCAGGGGGAGAGAGTTCCAGAGTCTGGGGGCCACAGCAGCAAATGATCTGTCACCTTTGGTCTTTAGCCTGGTGCTGCACAACCAGTAGGCTTTGGTCACTGGACCTCAGGGACCTGCTGGGGGTGTAGGGACTAAGAAGATCACCAATGTAAGATGGTGCTTGTCCATGTAAGGCCCTATAGACCAGAACCAGGATCTTGAAATGAACCCTGAAGTTGACTGGCAGCCAGTGAAGCTGGAGGAGAAGCGGGGTGATGTGGGTGTGTTTGGAGGACTTGGTCAGAAGCCGAGTACAGGCATTCTGAACCACCTGTAGACGGTTCAGGGAGGTTCTGCTCAGACACGTGAAAAGAGAGTTACAGTAGTCCAAGCGTGAGGAGATGAAGGTGTGGAGAACTGTCTCAAGTTCAGAGCGAGACAGAATGGGACTCAGCTTAGCAATGTTCCTGAGATGGAAGAAGGAAGAGCGAACAAGAGAACTGACATGAGAGCTGGGTCAAAGGTCATGCCAAGATTCCTGACAGAAGGTTTGGTGTGAGAAGCAAGCTGACCAAGAGAGTCTCTGACTTTGGGAACCAGCTTGTCTGGGGCACAGATGAGGATCTCAGTCTTATCTTCACTCAGCTGTAGAAAGCTCCCAGCCATCCAGGCTTTGATAGAGTCTAAGCAGGTGTGTAACAGCTGCAGCTTAGACATCTCATGGGGCTTGAAGGAGATGTACAGTTGGATGTCATCGGCATAAAGATGGTAGGAGATTACTTTAAAGAAGCTCAGGATGTGCTGAAGAGGAAGCAAAGGAGGAAGAGCAGAGGCTCAAGCACAGGTGGTGGACCTAAACTTGGAGACGGGTACAGAGAAGGAACGCCCCGACAGATAAGAGGAGAACCACTCCAGAGTAGATCCTGATAGGCCTACCCAGTCTCTCCAGTAGCAGGTGATGGTCAACAGTATAAAAGGCTGCAGTCAGGTCCAGCAGGACCAGATGTAACGTCCAGCAATGGTCAGTTTTTAGGTACAGTTTGACCATTCAACATCTGGTCAAAATAGAGACCCGAGACTGCATGTGTTCCCTTCAAATCGGCCTGCCTCCATCCCATCTGCTGGAGCTCAGAGCCTCTCTGCAGCTCTGAACACGTGATAACGAATTGTCAACAATGATGTTCTCTCCTCAAGGTCCAAGCTTCCCTTATCATCCTACAGGATTCTTCATGCCTCTAAATAAGGAACACTCGCAGCTCGGATTAGTTGCTAAATCAAAGAATGATTTTGTATATTAAATATGAACTTCTGAAACATATAAGCTAGATAATCATTAAATTAACGTTTGTTTTTTGCTACTTATAATAATTATAGGATAATGAAATGTTTTCATTAATCTGTGCTCAATGATTGAAGTTTGAAATGAATGCTATGATTACATTGATTGATATGTTTTAGCATGTTTACATGACAAGGTCATCACCATTTGCATTCATTCAGGACAAAGTAAAATTAAAACGCGTGACACATAAATAGTCCTTTAGCCCAGATCAGAGCATCCGGATCAAAGAAGGCGTGTTTCTGAGTTGTCGTGGTAATATTCCTCAACGTGTCAGCCTCTGGTTGGCTACACAAATCATAACATGAGAACATTAAAACTGGATCACTCTGGTGCTTCGTCAGTTCTTGAGAAAAGCTTCAGACCGGCCAATCGAAGCAAGACCTCTTTAACCCATCAAAGCTTTTTACACGTCGTCAAAATCTTTTTGCACCTGCGAAGCTGATACAGCAAACAGTTCCTGCAGAACAAGCTGATGTTGTTTAGACTCCTTAACAGTCCCCCAGAAGCGCGGTTCCATCCATCTGTCGTGACCCGAGACATCTCTGGACTGGAGAAGTCGGTGCTGTGGTCAATCTACTGGACCTGGGTGCCAGAGGTCATCCGACCTCTCTGACCTTTGCATCCACGAAGAGGGTCTCCGAGAACGGGTGAAGTAGAAACACAGATAGCGTCTGATGCTTTATGATAATAATCAGCTTCATAGCTTAACGCAAACCAAATTCTTTTACATCCAGAACTCAGCTCTCCTAGATACGGAAGTTCTGATAACATTGCATTCACACATAGGTTCATACATCACATCTAGTTCCATCCATCACAGTAAATGTTAGTTAACCTGTCATGTTTTAATTGTTTCTAAAATAAATTCTTACTTTTATAAACCTGACTCTTTTCTGAATCAAAACAAAGTGTGTACAATCCCTTGGGGAAGTAAAGAATCCTAGAATCTTCTGTTTAACACAGTAAAGACCAAGCAGGTTGATATTATATACTTAGAGTATCACAGCTTATTGGTCATAAGTAGAGGTAATATATATATTCATTAAATAACATCGATGAACGGGGGGACCCAAAAAATGCAGCCTGCCTAGTTTAGTCCATTTATTTAATCTGGCTCTGGCCATGTGCCTAAAATTTTAAGTGCATATCAGAATTTACAGTGTAGGATTCAGAAGAGAAGGCCAAATCTCCTGACACCATTTTTAAAAGGTTTAATCCCAATTTCTATCTGGAAAAAATGTGGTTAAACTGTTTAATATTCTGAAACATGTTACAGATTGATCAATGAACTTCATGACAGATTTGTTTTGGTCATTAATTGTGTTTAGCCTACTGGACTAGCCGGGCAACGCTGCGTTGACGGCTTTAGGTCGTGGGGCGGGTTCCATCGTTGTCTTTCAAATGATCTCCGCAACTGGAAAATGAACAACGTGATGTACTCACGGCAAGGGATGTCGTAAACGAGGGGGTCCGCTGTTGACGAAGGCAAAAATACATCCTTTTTTTTCTACAAAAAGATCTTAAATACATCCATCTGCTCCCGATTCTGATAAACTCCGAGCCCAAATAGTCAAAAATAGATGTAAAAGCCATTTCAAGCGAGCGGTCGCCATTTTGTTCCACTCTATTGCATCATCCCAACCACCAGACGAATAGAGGGCCTTGATTGGCCCACAAAGCGGATAAAGCACTGTGATTGGTTCACAAAGCAGATAGAGGAATATGAGTGGCCCACCATTATGGACCAATCACAGCTCTCTATGTGTTTGAAACCCCTCTAGAGAGCTGTGATTGGCCAGCCAGAATGCTGCAAGGGGCTGCAGAGGTTCCAGTGGAGCGTTGCTAGACCAAACTTTGCAAAGCAAGAATTTGGTCTAGTTCACTAGACTACTACTGGACAAAATCTAGCAACAATTACAGAAATTATATCAAATGTAACAAAGGTTATCAACTAACTGGACCAATGAAAACAATTTACTTCCTTAAACAGTCACACCCCCATGCTCACTCTGTTGTTTCCTTTTTCTGTGCTATCAACATGTTCCTGCGGTGTCCATGAGGGCGCACGGGGTTGGTTAGGGTTCCTCCTACGACCGTCACAGCGGTGGGTGGGGTTTGAGCGGGTGCGCTTTACCGACTTCCGGGGAGGTTTGTTACCGGAAGTCAGGATGAACGGCTCTCTACAGGGACTCGGCTCTCATCGTTCACTTTGAAAACGCGTTCAAAAGATTTGATTCGTTCGTGAACATCACCACTAAACATCTACTATAATTTGTCATTAAAAAAAAAGACTATTGTGTTTCTAAATTAAGGAAAAATAGGAAAAAAAGGATGGATATTCTTTCAATGGGATGCTGATTTTAGTGGAAAACATTAAAAACAAGCTTAAATATATTTAAGAATGTTACTTTTACTGTCATTCTGTTGTGAAATATTCAATGAGTACTCTGAAAAGCTGTGTAAACCTGCATTTTCTATTGCGGACCCATCTATATTTTTAAAATCTGTTGGTTATAAATAATATAACTAAGTTATTCAGAGCCACTGTAGAAGATCCAAAGAGTCTGAGATAAGCTGTGGTAACTGGAGAGGAACTGTGAAATAGTCTGGAAGCTTTTTCTGTTTGCTTGTTCAAGTTTAATTCAAATAGAATCTACAGTACATGAAATATATGATGATGATGATGATGATAATAATAATAATTATATGTATATTAAACAGTGTTTTTTGAGCTAAAAGGCAGAATAGAAATTTTCTTTTATGTTGCATTATAATTTGACATTGTTCCACATTGAGTAGTTTCTGTCCTACATTTGACGAGTCACCCTAGCTGGGGCCAATCTTGCAACCACCGACTAAACAACTTAAAAGATCTATAGTTATATTTATGCAATTTACAAAATACAAATCACTGGTAAATGACAAGTATTTCTACACTACACAAACCATTTAACATTAGAGTATAGATGCCATGCTAAACTCTCTGCTGCAACACTCAATAAGTGAAACCTAAAAGGACAGTAGCTCAGGTTGAAGCTCATCATTGTTTAATTATGAGCAAAGCACATAATACTACTCAGCTTCTCGATGGAAACAGGAATTTAGCAAAACATTTACAGCTTGGGGACCACAATATATGGCTCACTGGCCAGGAAGACGTTTCTCATAGGTCAGATGCAGACCTGATCTAGGATAATGGACAGTAATCAGGGTACAAGATGAATATCTAGGAACCAAAGCCAAGGCTATCACTTTTCTAACTCTAACTCACTATGGAGGAGTAGCAAAGACTGTTGTTTTTACACCCCACAATGGCAGTACTGCTGACATAATATGGTACTGGCGGCAACATCACTGGATACCTCTTTGCATATAGCAATGGCTGATTTAAAATCAATGTAGAGCACAGTTTTTACCTGAAGAGGGAGCTACACTAGCAGTTTTAGGCAGAACATTTCTATTTAACATAAGATGCACTAAAATGCCAACACAATGACCTCACTTGTCTACAGCAATATTAGACACTCTTTCTTACAGTTTATCAGAAAAACGTTTGATTTAGCAATGAATAGCTCGGTAACTGAGTTCTATCCCGTGTGGATTCTCATGTGACTGTTTAAACTTTGTTTATAGCTAAATTTTTGTCCACAGTGTTCACAGGCAAAAGGTTTTTGACCTGTGTGGACTCTCATGTGAGTGTTTAAATGGGCCTTTTGACTAAATCTTTGTCCACAGAGCTGACAGGTAAAAGGTTTCTGTCCTGTGTGGACTCTCATGTGACTTTTCAAATTTGACTTGACATTAAACCTTTGTCCACAGAGCTCACAGGCAAAAGGTTTCTGTCCTGTGTGGACTCTCATGTGACTGTTTACTGTTGCCTTTTGGCTAAATCTTTGTCCACAGAGCTTACAAGCAAAAGGTTTCTGTCCTGTGTGGACTCTAATGTGTCGGTTTAAACTTGTCCTATGACTAAAGCTTTTTCCACAGAGCTCACAGACCAAAGGTTTCTGTCCTGTGTGCACTCTTGTGTGACTGTTTAAATGTGCCTTTTGACTAAATCTTTGTCCACATATTTCACAGGCAAAAGGTTTCTGTCCTGTGTGGACTCTCATGTGTCTGTTTAAATATGCCTTCTGCCTAAATCGTTGTCCACAGAACTGACACGTGAAAGGTTTTTCTCCCGTGTGGACTCTCACATGAATGTCTAAACTTGACTTACGGCTAAATTTTTGTCCACAGAGTTCACAGACAAAAGTTTTCTGTCCTGTGTGGACTCTCATGTGACTGTTTAAATTTTTCTTATGACTAAATATTTTTCCACAGTCATCACAACTAAATGACTTTGATTCTTTCTGAACTTTCCGGCATGAGTCCACATGTTGCTTCACTTTAACAAATTTCTTATCAACTAAACAGCCTGAAGACCTTCCTGCTAAATGACCTGTCACTTCTACATGTTTCTGCAGAGACGACTTGTGGAGAAACTCTTTACCACACTCAGGGCAGCTGAAGGATTTGTTGACAATCTTAACATCTGACTCATAAGACCTGCTCTCATTCCAGTCATTGTCTCCATCTCCAGTTTGAGGCCCAGAGTCTAGATTCACATCGTCATCAACTTCTTCATCATCTCCACCAACTTCAGTCACTGTAGAACTTAATGTCTGTTTGTGATGGTTCAGATCTGGGTTCCTGCTAGTTTCTGCTGTAATCTGGTTAGCTGAGCTGCTGGTTGGAATATCCCCATCTTCCATTTGCCGCTGCTGACGAAGCGGTGAGGAAAAAGGGTTCTCTTCATCATCCTCACTCTTCGTAGAAATTGCTGTGAATGGAAACCTGGTGGGATCAATCTCATCTTTCAAATGAAGCTGTTCTCCTTCCAGGCTGGTCCACATTTCCTCCTCTTCCTCCATTAGAAGGAGGTGTTCTGGATCCTTCTGGTCCACACCAGCACTATGTTCTTCGGGAGCTTCTTCTTTAACCAGCACCATCTGTTGAACATCTGTAGGGAAACCCAAAATCATATGATGTGAATTACTGACCACTAACTTTATATTCACACACATAATAATAAAATATTGTATTATTTCTTTAAGTTAGTGACATCAGAGCTGACCAAGAAAACAAATAATTTTTGAATTGAGTGACTTTTTCATGTGAGGTGAAAATGTGAGGTGGGCCCATGTATAGGGCTCCAGGTTGTCACTGTGTTGTTTTGTGACCTGGTGTGTACCACACTCAACATGGACCAGAGAGAAAAGAGTTGTCTCAAGAGATGAGAAAGAAAATTATAAACAAGCATGTTGAAGGTCAAAGCTGTAACACAATTTCCAAGCAGCTAGATGTTCCAATTGAAAATTTTAAGATCCATGGGACTGTGGCACACCTCCCTCGACGTGGCTGCAAGAGGAAAATTGATGACAAATTAAAGAGACGGACAATCCGAATGGTAACAAATAGTGATGTGTCGGTCGCGAACGAACCGGCTCTAATAGCCGGCTCTTTGAAGTGAACGACGGGAGCCGGCTCGTCATTGGGAGCCGCCCCCTCCCCCTCCCCTCTTGCTTTGGTGAAAGCTACAGGCGATTGGTCAACATCTGTAACTGCGTGTCCAGACTGTCCACACACAGAGCAGTAGGGGCGGGGAAGAGGGAGGATCAGACTCACAGCAGAGCACATGCGGGTGGAGGGAGACGAGACGGAATGAGGAGGAGGAAAAAGGCGCGCGCGCGCGAGAGAGAGAGAGAGAGAGAGAGAGAGAGAGAGACAGAGAGACAGAGAGACAGAGAGAGAGAGAGAGAGAGAGAGAGAGAGAGAGAGAGAGCGACGAAGACGGTGAGAAAATGAGCGCCAGCAGTTGGAAAGTGGAGATTTCTTAAAGTGTTCAGTTATTAAATCCATATAAATGATAAATATTTGATATATTGCTTTTTTTTTTACATTAGTAAATCATTTAACATATAGTTTAGCATTATTTTGGTTATAAATGTACTCTACGCAACAGAAAATCTGAGGAGCCACTTGGGAGCCGAAAGAGCCGGCTCTTTTTGGTGAGCTGAGCCAAAAGAACAGGCTCTCTAAAAAGAGCCGGAATTCCCATCACTAGTAACAAAAGCGTCCAGAAAACCTTCTAAGGAGATTCAATATGAACTTCAAGCTCAAGAAACATCAGTGTCAGATCGCACCACCCGTCGTTGTTTGTGCCAAAGTAGACTACGTGGGAGACAACCAAGGAGGACACCATTGTTGGAAACAAATCATAAAAAAAGCCAGATTGGAACTTGCCAAACTACGGTACATTTTGACAAGGCAGATAGCATGTCCTATGGACAAATTAGAAAAAAATGGTACTTTTTGCCAAGGTACATCAACTCCATGTTCATAGATGAAAAAATGAAGCATATCAAGAAAAGAGCACGATCCCTACTGTGAAACATGGAGAAGGCTCTGTTATGGTATGGGACTGCTTTGCTACATGTGGCACAGGGTGTCTTGAATCTGTGCAGGGTACAATGAAATCTCAAGACTACCAAGGATTCTAGAGAGAAATGTGCTGGCCAGTTTCAAAAAGCAGGGTCTCAGTTGCAGGTCATGGGTCTTGCAACAGGACAGTGACCTAAAACACACAGCTGAAAGCAACCAAGAATGGCTAAGAAGAAAACATTGGACTATTCTATAGTGGCCTTCTATGAGCCCTGACCTCAATCTAATTGAGCATCTTTGGATAAAGCAGAAACATGCCATCTAGCATGCCAGAACGGTGGGGAAACGCGTTTCAACAACGGAACTGACCAGAATACTGACGTAACACGGGTGCACAAAAGTGTGGGTTTCAATCATCGACAGAAATACTGGACAATTCGTTTCCATAGGCTCCAATTATAAGTTTTTGTGCCAAAATGGAGGTGGCCACCACCGCCATTTTGACAGTGTCACAGATTCTGTCAAACCCAGGCAATTCCAAAAAAGGGAAAAGAGGTGGGGCTGTAAGGCTGGGATCAACTGACAACACCCGTCGAACTGAAGCGATGTAGCTACAAGCTAACGCGGAGGTGGGAGATAAGCTAACGGAGGTAGCTACCTAGCTACAACCGGAGTTAACCGTGCACAACAGTCTGAGTCAGAGATACGCCGGGCTGACTGCTGGGTAAAACCGGGTGGAACACAGACGTCTCCCGAGAGCTCCACAAGCCAGCAGCCGCGCATCAGACAAGCGCCGTTGCAATCAGAGATGCGCAGAGCAGCCGCTGGGGAGAACCGGGTGGAAAACATGGGTTTCCATCCGAGAGCTCCACAAGCCGGCAGCCTGCGCAGCAGACAGGCGCCGGGGCGATCAGTGATGCGCCGAGCTGCCGCTGAGGGGAGGGGACCATACCAATAGTCGGAACCCAGCTCCACCAACATGTTATATTTCAACCCATTTTCTAAAGTGCAGCATTATGTTAAATGCACTGGGTTTTACCCTATTACATTTAAATGTCATGGTTAAACAGTACATGTTAAAATCTAAGCTCAGCTCGGCAGTGACCTAAAATACATAAATATAATTTTACTTACCGGAAAAAATGCAGTGGAGACTCCTTGGACGCTCTATTAGTGCAATTAATGCCACAGCAAGTCATTTTATTTGACAAACGTTACAACTAATGGTCTAAGTTGAGAGACTAAAAACCGCGGAACAGTTTTCAGGCTGAGGCCTTTCCCTGGAGCTAGCTCTGCGGTCACGTGGGTCTGCTGCTCATTAATTATTCAGAATTTTAGACTTTTAATACACTTAAACAGAAGAGTGACAAAAACATCACCCCCCTCAGAGTTGTCATGAGTGTAAACTAGATAATTTAAACCAAAAACATGTTTTGGTACCAGGCTGTAAACATGTTTATTTCTGTTTTGAAATTGGTATTTTTAACATGGGAGTCAATGAGGATTTGCTCGCTTCTGACACCAGCCCCTAGTGGATGAGGGTGGAACTGCAATTTATTTCACTTCCGTGTTGGCTTCATTTCCAGACCCGAATTATGGAGGCTTGGTTTCAATTAGCAACATAGAGAGGAGGGGAGAGGGAGAACACGGTGAGAGAAACACAGAGGGACCAGACCGATAGACATTTTTAGGCTGAACTTCAGCTTGTGTGGGTATTTAACCTCCTTATTAAAAAAATCCCCCATAGGAGTGACGCCCATGTACGCAGGTGTGATTTCCCTATTATGTAATAAAACTGCATTTCTCAGAACAGAGAATTCCTCCTTCACCATTACAACATTGCTAATTTACATAGAAAGCAGCTCATCTCTGACTTTTTGGAATGCTGCATTTGACCAGACAAGCTGCTTCTATTCAACACCCAGGTAAACGTGGATCTACTGCCCCTTTAGTGTTTCACATGTTTGTGCATCACTGAAGTCTGTCTGCAGAGATCATCTGTGCAGTTAGATACTGGATTAGTAATGTGGAAGTTTGATGAGTTGATTTATTTAACACACACACACACACACACACACACACACACACACACACACACACACACACACACACACACCTGTATCCATGCTGTCCAGATCCAGATGGTGAAGTAAACACGATGAATCAGTCCCAGCTGATGGATGATCCTGAAGTGGTAGCAGGTTTTCTTTAGCCGTGTTTAGCTAACAGCTGCAATAGAAACAAAGCAGGAGAGCTGATTAAGATGCTGCTTCAGAACAACTCATGAGATTAAAGATCCAACGCTTTGGTTCTGATCAGCTGAGGACAGATCCAGTCTGGAAAAGAGGACCTTTGGTCACCAGAGTTCACGGAGTAGAGCTAACCGCTTTTTCCTCCAGAGTCACATTCAGATTCGGGGCTTTTCCGTCGGAGAGTGTGAGCAGGATGGATCAGAGAGCGAGCAGCGATCCTGCATCATGACCAACTCAGATGAGCGAGTCTGATAGAGGGAACCTCTTCAATCTGATGAAAGCAGCTAAACGAGCGCGTTTCTCAGAGAGGCCAAAGGAACAGCAGCAGACCCAGAGGCCAGGAAGTCTAGAGAAAAGCTTTTCTGACCCATCACCTGCTTTTGGAGCTCCGATTGTCACGAAGACCACAGAATATCTTCTCTGCTTCTGGAAAGAACTTGCACCAAGTTGTTGAGGAGGAGAAAGTTTCCACAGCCTGGTGAGAAGATTTCTGCAGCAGCAGTTAGTCGCTTTAGCTGATCAACTCACCCAGAGACTGAAGTGAAGACATTTTTACTGCAGAGCCTCAAATATTCACCTCACACACCAGAACAACAACAAGCTAGCTCTGCTATCAGCTTCCGGTGTTTTTATTCCCCTGTTACTGGGTTTTAATGGTTAGCAACCGATGTAAACATATACTACCGCCACCCTCTGGACAGTGAGCAGCAACAAAGCGTTACGACCAGCGGTGGCGCCGCCATCTTGGATCGGTCGCGAGCCCCTTCTCTTTGACAGTCATTGAAGTGTCAGCATATTTAACCAACCTTGAATACTGAACCGTACACATGTTTTAGGGGTTTAATCAGTGGGTTTACTGTGGGTACATGTGTGACTCTTGTCCAGAGCTCAGTATTCAAAATTAAAGGGAAAAGGATCAATCACTAAAAATGACAGTCAAACAATGAGAATCAAAATAATTTTAAAAAGGATCATACAACAGGTGTGTGATATTGATGGTGAGCATTTAAAAAACACAATAATATGCCTAACCCTGGCAGGATGGGCTGGGGTCTCCATGCTCTGGGTGGCAATTTGACAACAGAGGTGCCTATTGGGACCAGTGGGGGAGCTGGCTCCCTGGAGGGCTAGGCCAACCAGGCATCCCCCAGGCATCCCCCCCTCCTGCTCCCTCACATCACACAAACATGAACACAGGACCTTGGGGGTGGACAAGTCAGGGAGTGCGGGTATGGACCCCATTTCTGCATTCCTGTGGCAACCTGCCCCCCAATTTTATTTGCACCTTAAACATTTCCACCAACAACATTCCACGCAAACACACACTTAGGGCCTTAGGAGTGAGCACATTCAATGGCATTTGGCAGGGGGATTTCTCAGCCTCATCCCGAGTGCCGGTGCCCACTTCCAATTTTAAACTGCACTTAGACACTGAGAGCTGTGGGTGCAAGTGGGGTGGTGGCATCAGCTGGCATAGGCCAGACGATGCCCGCACTGCCCGCTCACCACAGCCATGGAATACACCTGATCAACACTCACTAACACCATTGGGCGGGCCGGGGGAGCCTGCTCATCAGCACCCCAGCAGAAAGGGTAGAACTCTGGGAACCAGTAGTGGTTGTACCCCATGTGCAGCAGTACCGGGAATAGGGTGTGTATGGGGAGCATGAGTGGGTGTCCGGCGTGCATTTTTGTAAGTCTTTGGTTGTATGTGTATGTGTGAGCATGATGGAGGCAGTGTGTGACTGTGTTTGTGTATGACTGTATATGTCAGGTGGGGCCTTTGACTCCTCCCTTCTCTTGGGACTTCTTTTGGTGATATAGATCTTCATCTCCCCTCTCCCTGCCACACCTGGTGTGGAGTGTGGTGCCTTGGTCTGCCTGAGTGTTTGTGGCTCCCGGGTCAGGGAGTTTAAGATTTTTAGCATCTGCCTGACCAATCCCGGTGGTTGCCTGGTGGGGTCTGGGTCCCTGGGCTCTGCTGGGTCCCCGGCGGGGGTGGTCGCCCCTGGGTCCTGGGCTCGGCCAGCTAGGGGGTGGGAGGCTGCGGGTGGGCCTGTGGGCTTGCCGCCGATATCTCCCGGGACTCTGCCGGCTGCTGGTTGTGACCCCCCCGGGGCGATCCTCTGCACCTCTCGAGGGGGGCGGGGGCTTTTCTGGTCGCAGTCTCCCTGGGGTTCCTGTGCTTTGGGGCAGCGCCTGGATCTCTGGGACTTGGAGCTCCCTCCATCTCCTGCACATCTTTAGAGGGCAGATCTGTGGTCCCTCACACTCTCTACTGGACGCTCCTATAGAGAAACCTTACATATACAAGCGCATGTACACACATAGGTGCTCACATGGTGCTCTCATAAGTATGGACTTGGGCATGTTCAACACAGGTCTTAAGACTATGATGGGCACTTAATGCAGCTTGATCTTGTTGTATTGTTGTTGTGTCCCTTTTTTTTCTTCTCTTTCTGCAGGTCTAGAAGCAGACTCTTGTTCGTTATTGTTTATTTTTGTGGGACCCCCCCCCTTTGTTTTTTCCTTTCTCTTTCACCTCTGTCTCCGTGTTGGGTCAGAATTACAAAGCATTCAACAACAATAACATTAAAGTTTTAAGTATCAGGCGTGACATTAAAAGCAGACGCTTTGATGCTCCACCTGAGAGTAAATCTGTAAGGCTTGTCACCAGCATTCAGACATCAATTCTGTTTGCTTCACAGCCAGACAGGACACGGTAAAAAAAAAAACACACAATAATATATTAAAGAGAAGCAGAAAGTACTACTCAGTCATTTTATCAAAACTATGAATACAATTTAATTCTTATAGAGAGTGATTGAAATAAATGATTGTTTGTGTAATTCATATTAATATAGTGTCAATAAAATAAAAAATAATAAACCATTCATCAGAACTGATTGCTTAGTGATTTTTTATTGGTTTGTTTTATTTTTGTGTTTCCCCATTTTTTCTCTCTCTCTCTCTCTTTCTGCAGATCCAGAAGCACACATTGTGTTCACTTTTTGTGAACACCCCGCCCACCCATCTCTTCCTTTTCTTTTTCATTTACATCGTCGTTTGGATTAAAAACAACCAAAAGCTTCTCTAATAAGTTTTTGAAATCAGGTGGGGCTTTATTGCCGAATCTAACAATCCACCTGTGAGAATAAATCTGTGAGGCTTGTCTTCAGTACTCAGACATCAGTTCTCATCGACTGGAGCTCCCCTTCTGCAGTTAGAGAGGTGACTTTGGCCATATTGTGCTGCCTGCTCTTCAGAACCACTGACTTAACCAGTAACATCACATCTGACGACCGTGGCATCCATCATGAGAGCTACACGCCAGTGTTTAGTCTGGTCTTCATCTTGTTCAGGCCAGGTTCATCATCCACCAATCACCAATCACAGCCTCCTGTAAAAGGAAAGAAACATATTTAACATATCAGTAATTTCCAAATGTTCTATTGAACAAAATTAATACAAAATTAATTCAATAATTGATTCAGCTGTGGTTATGCTAGAGGACACATTGTGATGCCATCGTGATCCAGAGTGTGTAACATGCTTCAGCGTGACACTAAAGTCAAGCATGTGACTAAAAAATATGAAATAATTATTCATGTTCGTAATCACATTTTGCTTTACTGATGATATCGGTAGCGGGTACGTTACAAACATCAAAGCCTATTGATCAGGAAAAAAAAAAACTTTTGACCGCATCAACTCAGTTGGAATGCCAAAGGCAAGAACTAAAGCTTGGTTTATGCTTGACGCATTTACTTTCCACATAGTGATGCGGCTCACGGATGGAACGCGCTTCACAACTTGCAGCGTTTATGGTTCATGCGGCTCGTCTCTGCGGTGAGCCATTATTCTCCCAAACTGTAGGGGGCAGCATGGAGCTCTACAGCATGCATCCAACACTACACCATAGTAGAAGTAAAAGTTACTGTTGTTTACAACATGGCATTCCAGCATTTTTTAACAGCGTCCTCGTCTTTTCTGACAGTGCGAGCTATTTCTCTCCAAGAATTATTAACAACATGTTGATCACGGTGATCTCTGAGAGCTGAATCATACAAATGTCTGTAATTACGAACCCCTGCCATACTAGTTCTTGCCATTCCGCCATGTTTATCGACGTCCGACCGTCAGCGTGGTTAGAAAATTTCCTAGGTGCGCGGTGCGGAAAGTTTGGACCGTGCACAGGCACGGTGGAGGGGCGTGGTTGTTAAAATGACGCAATTGTGCCGCACAGAGCCATGCGAACCTCGTAGGTGCGTCAAGCATAAACCTTCTGTTGTTCTTTACTCCACAGAACAATTTTACAGCATCGACATTTTCAGTAAAATCCTTGACAAGTGGTTTGTCAAGACAACACACATGAATGTTCAAATCACCAGAAATGAAAACATGGTCATAATTAGGCAGGAAAACTGCCAAAACGTCTGCTAAGTCAGATTAAACTTAGCATTACACTTTGGAGGATGGTAAATGAGAATTCGTAGGATTCTAGAGGCCACACCAAAGTCAAATAGGCAAAACTGGAAGCTGTTGAAGAAAGCCAGAGGGCTGAGTTCTCTGAAATGAAGACAGCTCTAGATGACCAGCCCACCACCCTCACCTGAACGTCTTGGGACATTAACCCTCCCACTGTCTTTATGGGTGGCCCCACGAGGAAAGTTGACCATTGAGCAGGATTGATGGTTTATCCCTTGAGGTCCATGTGGCAGAGGTGAGGTGGTGCTCACTCCTCACCCCTGCCATGTGGACTGCCACCCAATGGATAAACCATCAGTCCTGCTCAATGGTCAACTTTCCTTGTGGGGCCACTCATAAAAACAGTGGGAGGGTTAAAGGGATAGTTTGCCACTTCTTCACGTTTTAAATCATTTTCTTGAGCCAGTGTGTGCTAAAATGACCATTCACAGGGTTGATGAAAGGTCACACAGACCCTATCGCCTCCTGTGGCCAGAATGTTCAACTTACAACTTCAGAATGGGGAGCCGCTCTGTTGGGAGAGTCTGTTTCCAGCACCTTTCCTACATGTTTTAGATCACTAACACAGTTGTTTTGTTTATTTAGTGACAAATCTCTCCTAAGGAAGGCTGGGGAGACAGGTCAGCTGTTAGATTATGGTGTTAAAAAGACGAACGCACCACGGCTGAAAGCAAGCCATAACTGCCTAGAGTTCCCCTTAAAACAAATAGTCATTCAGTAATAATTCCAAAAGCACTCCTGTGGGCTTCCAGAGAACCCAACTTTCCACAAATAAAATTAAATTAAATTAAAATCAAGAAAAATGTTTTGTCCAAAATCTTTACAAGAAGCTTTTTCTGCTCCTAAACAAATATACCGATATGGCCATAAGAGAAAATGAGATTTGGTCAATCAGATCTAATGGAAAATCCTAAAATGAAAACGTATTTTTGACTTGCTCTTTCAGGCTTTTAAAGCAACCGCTTCCAATTATTAAAATATTATAGGGAACATAACTGGTGTTAAGTTACTGTCTGGGGAAGTATATCACCAGGTTTATTTGGCAAACGCTGAACAGGTTGTTGCTGGTCATCTCGACTCTTGTCCAGCAGGTGGCGATAGTGCAACTTTACGTTTGTTTACAACCATTAAAATTTGAAGAAAAGGAAACCGGAAGCCGTTAGCAGAGTTAGCTTGTTGTTGTTTTGGTGTGTGATGTGAATATATGAGGCTCTGCAGTAAAAATATTTTCACTCTGAGAGACATGATCAGCTAAAGCCACTAACCGATATCTTCTCACCAGGCTGTGGAAACTTTCTCCTCCTCAACAACTTGGTGCGAGTTCTTTCCAGAACCAGAGAAGATATTCTGCGGTCTTCGTGACAATCGGAGCTCCAAAAGCAGGTGATGGGTCAGAAAAGCTTTTCTCTAGACTTCCTGTCCTCTGGGTCTGCTGCTGTTCCTTTGGCCTCTCTGAGAAACGCGCTCGTTTAGCTGCTTTCATCAGACTGAAGAGGTTCCCTCTATCAGACTCGCTCATCTGAGTTGGTCATGATGCAGGATCGCTGCTCGCTCTCTGATCCATCCTGCTCACACTCTCCGACGGAAAAGCCCCGAATCTGAATGTGACTCTGGAGGAAAAAGCGGTCAGCTCTACTCCGTGAACTCTGGTGACCAAAGGTCCTCTTTTCCAGACTGGATCTGTCCTCAGCTGATCAGAACCAAAGCGTTGGATCTTTAATCTCATGAGTTGTTCTGAAGCAGCATCTTCATCAGCTCTCCTGCTTTGTTTCTATTGCAGCTGTTAGCTAAACACGGCTAAAGAAAACCTGCTCCCACTTCAGGATCATCCATCAGCTGGGACTGATTCATCGTGTTTACTTCACCATCTGGATCTGGACAGCATGGATACAGGTGTGTGTGTGTGTGTGTGTGTGTGTGTGTGTGTGTGTGTGTGTGTGTGTGTGTGTGTGTGTGTGTGTGTGTGTGTGTGTGTGTGTGTTTGTTGCACAAACACATGAAAACATCAACAACAGCTTCTCCTGAAACCATAAATCAACTCCATCTCTTCTTTAAGTCACAATTCACCAGTAAACACGTTCCTTCACTCCGCTTTTAATGCATTTATAGTCACCTATTGGAACAAATCCAGTGGGCATGGACATCCGTTTTTGTAAACAAGCATGGCTGATCGTCGTCGTTGTCGTCTTCCTCCGCTTATTCGGGTCCGGGTGGCGGGGGCAGCATCCCAACTAGGGAGCTCCAGACCGTCCTCTCCCCGGCCACCTCCACCAGTTCCTCCGGCAGGACCCCAAGGCGTTCCCGGACCAGATTGGAGATGTAACCTCTCCAACGTGTCCTGGGACGGATATCCTATCATACCAGCATGGCTGATAGGGGTCTTTTTTTAGAGTTTGAAAACACTAGTTTAGTCCTGTCAGCATTGAAGATGCTCCCCTGTCCTGCATGTTTTCTATGTCTCTGCTTCAAGCCCACCTGATTTATATATTTGCGTTGCCTTCTCAGGATGACATCAAGTGCTGCAGAAACCTGTTAATCGCTCATTAATTTAGACCAGGTGTGTGACAGCATGGAAACACCTAAAACTTGTAGGACGAGGGAGCTGAGGTCCAGGGTAAAGAAACACTGTGAAGGCAAAACCAGAGCAGGGCTGCAGCTGCTACTGAGAGAAGGCCTGAAGCCTCGTTCACACCAGATGCAGAATGAATGCGATCCAGTTTCACATGGATCAGAAATCATTGAATCCAGTTAGAGTGGTGCAGATTCAAATACAGAGCTCCAGAAAGTTTCCACATGGAGTATATTTTTTCTGGACCCTGCATGAGGATTGTTTAAGGTAAAGAATTCACATGAGAAGTTAGGTGTGGTTCAGTGTTAAAAGATATTTAATGAAATTATTTTCAGTTACTAATCAGTTGGACACTTTTAGGGATACGTCAATACTTGACTAAGGGGGGTACTTGTGGTACGAGAAAACGTCTCTGGGGGTCCAGCGCTCTAGTTTAAGTTTGGTTTTTACTGGGCTGTGTTTGTTTTGTCAGAGAAAACACAGAACCCCGTTAAGGGGGACAGCATAAAAAAAACTAAATTTTTCAACTGTCCTCACACATCCTCCATGTTGCCCCAGGTCCCCTAGGCACCTGGATTGCAACAGGCATTCTGTGTGAAATAAATGCTTTATATCAGTGTTAGGGATGCAACGATACCACATTTTCCAAATGGATGCGATACCGATACTTGGATCTGAATACTCGTCGATACCGATACTTCTACCGCACAAAACAATGCAATGATATGGAATACAGATTTTATTTTCTTCTCTGCTTTCAACAGGAAAAGACTGTGAGGTAGATAAAAAGTAAATTATATGAATAGAAATCATCACAAAACTAAAATATTAGGTGAACAGAAATGGCAAGTTACAGTGAAGCCATTTTCAAGCAACTGCATTGATATCGGTTACTGGTATCGGTTAACTTTTACCGATACCAGTATCGTATCGGTATCTGCACCGATACCGAAACCCGTATCGGTATCCGTGCATCCCTAATCAGTGTGGGAATGTATGAGTGACAGGTGTGTTGTGATGCACCTTGCAGGGTCGTGGAACTGGATAAGGTCCTATATAAACAGAGATCTTAAACCAATGTTTGAGGTTATCAATAATACTACTGTTAATTATTATACGTGTGAATATGAAGTTACAGCGGTTGGTTATTTACATTGTGTTCTTGTGTTTCCTAAAGATGTTCAACAGATGGTGTTGGTTAAAGAAGAAGCTCATGAAGAACAGAGTGCTGGTGTGGACCAGAAGGACTCAGAACACCTCCATCTAATGAGAAAACAGGAGGGTCTCTGGACCAGTTTGGAGGAAGAACAGCTTTGTTTGAAAGAGGAGACTGATCCTGTCAGTATTCCATTCACAGTAGTTTTTATAAAGGGTGAGGATGATGAAGAGAATCCTCTTCTCTCAGAGCTTCATCATCAGGAGCAAATGGAAAACGAAGATGTTCAAACCACCAGCTCAGCTGACCATATGACATCAGAAACTAGTGCAGGAGCACAAACTAACAGGAACCCAGATCTGAAACCTCATGAACAGACATCCAGTTCTTCAGAGGCTGAAGTTAATGGAGAGGAGGAAGTGAATTTAGACTCTGCGCTATCAGACTCTGGGCCTGAAATTGGAGATGGAGACAGTGACTGGAATGAGAACAGATCTTCTGAGTCAGGTGTTAAGATTATCAACAAATCCTTTAGCTGCCCTGAGTGTGGTAAACAGTTTTTCCACAAGTCGTCTCTCCAGAAACATATGAGGGTGACAGGTCATTCAGCAATGAGGTCTTCAGGATGTTTGGTCAATAAGAAATGTGTAAGGGTAAAGAAACACGTGGATTCAAGCACAAAGGCCCACAAAGAACCAAAATCATTTAGTTGTGATGACTGTGGAAAGATGTTTAGCCATAAGACGGGATTAAACACTCACATGAGCGTCCACACAGGACAGAAACCTTTTACATGTCAGCACTGTGGTCAACAATTTAGGCAAAAGGCATATTTAAATAGTCACATGAGAGTCCACACAAAACAGAAACCTTTTACCTGTGAGTTCTGTGGACGAAGATTTAGTCATAAGGCAAGTTTAAACAGTCACATTAGGGTCCACACAGGACAGAAACCTTTTGCGTGTGAACTCTGTGGACAAAAATTTAGCCAAAATGCACATTTAAACTGTCACAAGAGAGTCCATACAGGACAGAAACCTTTGGTCTGTGAGCTCTGTGGAAAAAGTTTTAGTCATAGGACAAGTTTAAACAGACACATTAGAGTCCACACGGGGCAGAAACCTTTTGCTTGTGAGCTCTGTGAACAAAGATTTAGCCAAAAAACAACGTTAAACGGTCACATGAGAGTCCATACAGGACAGAAGCCCTTTGCCTGTGAGCTCTGTGGACAAAGATTTAGTCATAAGTCAACATTAAACAGTCACATGAGACTCCACACAGGACAGAAGCCTTTTACCTGTCAGCTCTGTGGACAAAGGTTTAGCCAAAAGGCACATTTAACCAGTCACACAAGAATCCACACTGGGCAGAAACCTTTTGCCTGTGAACTCTGTGGTCGAAGATTTAGCCAAAAGTCGACATTAAACAGTCACATAAAAATCCACACAGGACACAAAGAACAAATTTAAAGAGCAAGTCACCCCCAAATCACAATTTCTTTTGGGTGATCTGTATACATGAGCATCTGTGCTGTGCTGTAAACATATGGTGTCATTATTTGGCATTCTAGTGCATCTTATTTAAAATATAAATATCCAGCCTAGAATTGCTAGTACAAGTCATTCTTCAGGTTAAATTTATTCACTACACTGAATTTAAACTGGCTATTGTTATTGGCAAATGGGTATCGTGTGACATTTCCAGTACCATAACATGTCATCAGCTCTTCCACTGTGTGGTGTAAAAGCAGAGGAGTCTTAGCTACTCTTCCATAGTGATTTCAGCATTGTTTATACTTCAACAGTGGAGGTGTGGCAACATGCAACACCATTATCCATGGTCACAGGTGTTCTCTAACAGGTTCGTAAAGATGCGGTGGAGCCTAATTTTCTTCAACAGCACTGCCATCCCCCGTCAAAAGATAAAATAGCCCAATATATCTACCTGCGGACACAGAGCAGAATGAAGAATGTCTCACTGAAAATGTCTGACAAGTTTGGCATCAGTTCCTAGATATTAGTCTGTTCATAACCCTAGATCAGGTCAATATCTGGCCCACGAACAGCCCCTGTGAGCTAAGCTGTAAATGTCTGTGGTCAAAGCAGTGAGGGCTCTCGCTAGCTGTTTTTACAGGACCAGAGCGTTTGCAAAACGGGATTTGCCGCGGCTCCCTGGGGAGGATAAAGGTCGTTTATAAGATCAGGCGTGGCGGTAATGTGGTGCAATCATGGCAATTTTATAAAAGATTAGATGATGGCAGCATAAAGGCAGTATGGGGGCGGTCTCTGCTCTGCCGCAGACTTCCGCTTATCTTGGACATAACTTGCTTTTTATTGCGATTGAAGCCATGATCGTTACTTTTTTTTAACAAGCAGCTCCTAAAGGTGTCTGTCCCCATCAGTCGCTGTGCCGTCTCTGGTGATCTGAGCTTCAGCTCTAACAGAGAGGCTCATGGAGCGCTGCAGCGCTTCAGTTTGCCATCTCAGCTGATTTTGTTCAAAAAGCAGACCTTATTGCCTGCGTTTACTTTCATTTTCAATAAATTTGCCAGCCGGAGCTCAGCAATAACTCCCCCACATCATCATGACGTCTGCCTCTGTTGCGCCAGGGTGCATACCGACCATTACAGCAATATTACTACCAAGCGAGGCGGAATGAATGCCGCAAAATTCGCGCAACGCCATGCCGGCATGGCACGTTTATAGACATACCGTTGCGGTAATATTACGCCGATTTGCCGGCATGGTGTGTCTTGTAAAAGAGCTGGAGGCAGACTTAAATGCAGTGTGAACAAAAACCACAAAAAAGGAACCAACAGAGCATAGGAGTGTGATTATTATTTTTTAATTTTTTAATTTATGTATTTATTTCAGGCAATGGCACATTTAAGTAAACAAGGTAAATATAATCATGTTATACAAAGGAATAAACGTACATGGCCATATTATTCTGCCCGAAAGGGAGTAGGAAGAAGAGAACTTGTATAATCCCACCCCCAAATCCCCATACAGTCCCAAAACAAACAAGAGTTTTGCTATTACTTTAACTATTTCTTTTTACATTTTTATAGCATGATGGTGTTACCACAGGCAACAGGTAATTTACAATTTACATTTTACAATTTTACAGTTGACCACAATTCATATCAACAATGGTAAAAGACAAATACCAACAATTTTAACAGACAGTATAGAAACAATTGTAAGGAACCGAAAGCATGTGTTTATGCTTTGGGACAGAGTAAAATGACAGATTAATTTAAAGACCCTCATCTCTATATGTTGACCAGACCTGATGTTTGTGTAACAATTTAAATTGATGGACAGTTTGACTTTGCTTTTTTTGTAAGTCCCGTTTGTTCCAGAGTTTCGCTCCACATACAGACACACAAAAACATTTCCGAGTGGTTTGGGCTCTCGGCAATGAAAAATATCCAAATCCTCTCAGGGTATAAACACGCTCTGGAGTTGTAAAAAAAATCTTTGTAGGTTAGATGGTAGTAATTTATTGAATGCTTTATATAGAACTATTAATGTATTATATTTTACGAGATCAACAAATTTTAGCAGCTTTGACTGTGTAAATAAATTATGGGTATGTTCCAAAATACCAACCTTGTGGAGGATCCACACTGCTCTTTTCTGTAATATGATCAGGGGATGTAATGTGTATTACCCCACACTTCAACACAGTACGTAAGGTTTAAGTCAATTGTTTTCATTGGTCCAGTTATTTGATAACCTTTACTTCATTTGATATATTTTTCTGGTATTTGTGTTAGATTTTTCTCTAGTAAACAGAAATAATATCAAATAAAAAATGTCAGGAATATTCTGTTGTTGTTAATGTTGATGTTGTTCCTGAGAGATGAAACAGTCTCACTTTTTTTTTCCAGATAAAAATCTGAATAAATCCTTCTACAAATGGTGTTATCAGATTGCACTGTATCTCCAATCTACACCCTACACTGTTAAATCAGATAAGTTCAATTCACTTGAAAAAGCATGCAAACCATTGTACTTAAAATTTTAATATGGCACCAGGCATACCAGGCCCTGTGATACAAGCTCTTATGCCTCTGAATGACTGGTGTCAGAGCTTGGTCCAAATTGCAGACGTTGTACCGGTCTGTTGTGGTGAAGAGAGCTGAGCAGGAATAGCCTGGCAAGCCAGACTAAATAAATGTATTATTTAGTCTGGCCACGCTCCATTGACGGCTCTCGGTTGTGGGGCGGGTTCTACCGTTGTCTTTCAAATGATCTCCGCATTCCACTGGACAATGAATGTGACATACGATCGTTTCACTCTGTTGCATCATCCCACCCACCAGGCACATAGAGTGCCCTGATTGGCCCACAAAGCGGATAAAGCTCTGTAATTTGTTCACTAAGCAGATAGAGCACTATGATTGGCCCACCATTATGGACCAATCACAGCTCTTTATGTTTGAAACCCCTCTAGAGAGCTGTGATTGGCTAGCCAGAGTCCTGATAGGAGATGTGGAGGTTCCAATGGAGCGTGCCTAGACAAAACTTTGCAAAGCAAGAATTTGGTCTAGTACACTAGGCTAGAGCAGGAAGGCACAGCTATCGATTTACCGGTCATCTACATTCCAAACGCTATGGCCACGAGCTTGGGGTAGTGACTGAAAAAACAAGATCACGGATCCAAGCAGCCAAATTTAGTTTTCTCCACAGGGTGTCTGGGCTCTCCTGTAGAGATATGTTGAGAAGCTTGGTCATCCAGGTGGGGCTCGAAGTACATTCACTGCTCTTGGAAGAGCAGCGGACCTGGCTAATGGTACTTAGTTAGGATGCCTCTCTGGTGAGGTTTTCTGGGCCCATCTAACCGGGAGGAGACCTAAAGAAAGACACAGGACACAGTGGAGGGACTATGTTTCTTGACAGGCCAGGGAACGCCTTGGGATTCCCCCAGAGGAGCTGGCCCAAGTGCTTAGGCTTAGCCAGAGCCAACCCAACAGAACCAGCTCTGAATGGTAAGTAGCCGTTAGCCATAGCATTAGATTAGCTACAGGGTTTGGCTCCACGGCCTTAGAGAGCTGTTATCAATCATGTGTTAGAGGTTTATCTGCTTCAGCACACCTTATTTTAATCAGCAACAAATAGCTGAGCTGCTGAACAGCTAATCTAACATGTTAAAGCAGGAAAACCACTGAAACGTGTCGATAGCAGCTCTCCAGGACACGGCCACCTACCCTGGGCTAAAGTTACTATCTGCAGCAGAGATAGTTATAAAAGTACCCCACGGGAAAATTCTGTAATGTGTCCATTTATGTTGCACAATCACAAACATCCACCTAAAATTGCCCTGATTTCATTATTTACTGATACCAGCTGCTCTCTTGGTCGTAGGTGATCCTCTGGTGTCTGCAGCTGGTCTCCTCTGCTGGTGTCGTCAGGATCAGGAGCTTCCAGAAGAATGTGCCTTTGAATGATTCCTTCCTCCACTAAACAAGTTATTTGTTATATTATTTAAATAAATCTCAATTTCTATATTTCCTGTTTTTGTTCATGTCCATAAATATTTAAACACACTTGAGTTTAAAACAAGCTTTAACAGTGAGGTGTTAATTTAATTCATCACAATAGAGCTAGTTAAACATGCAACAATGTGATAATTGAATTAATGTAATTTATAAATATCCATTAAAATATCAAAACTGGAATCAAAATGAGACATTTGGCAGCACAAAAAACTTGTCAAACACAATATTTATTATAATAATTGTAGGCAGACAGGAGACAGAACTGATGGAGGTTCTCAGTCATCGAAGGATGGCTGAAGGCTTTCCAGGAACAGGAGATGTGGTGTTGTCTCTTCTCTATTCTGCCAGATGAGCTGATAGGTTACAGGTGTGTGAGGACATCCTCATGCTGTCATAACCAGATGACAGGAGTTATCAGGTGATCAGCCAGGCTAATGATGAGATGCAGAAAGAAAACAAATCCAGGACAGTGTACAGTAATAACAATAATATGTGGTGTTGCTCACCTTATGTGCTCTTATAGAGTATTAACGTGTGCCTGCCTCATGGTGTAGAGTCCATATTTTGCTGAGTGTCCTGCTATAATGCAGGTTATTAGTTAATTTACTTTTGATAGCAAAGAACAAAATATTTAATGTAAAAGTTATTTACCAGGTGAATCAGCTCACACGTCACCGCCAAGTGTCAGAGGACCAGAATCAGTCGCCTCCTTCATGATGTCATGATGTAATCTAGCTCCAAGCTCACAGCAGCAACACACGTGTAGCAATAAGCTATGAAATGAAAACATAGTTAATGTTAAAACTCAAAGGCTGTAATGAAGATTACATGATGATTAAAAACAACTCACCTTTACTACACCTGCAAGGCTTCATGTTAGTCTGGACCATTTGTAGCTGCAACAATCAGTCTGACAGCAGATTACTTGGGTTCATTTAGCCTGAAAAAATTAAATATAACATCACAGTGTTGTGGGAGGTCGCTTCCAGAGATGATGACAAACATGTGGAAAGCAGAGCAAGGATGGAGCTACAGGTTTTTCTGTTAGATCAGGAGGCCCTCAGGTAAACCGGGATGTTAGGGTGAGTCTGCGAAGCTACTCCTCTCCAGTGGTGACCAGCCAGGCTGAGATGTAAGGAAAAAAACAGAATACAGAGTACAATATTATTATTTATAATATTGTTTACCTAGAACAGTTCATATAGCTTGTCCTGTCATCCAGATGGAAGCTGCTCAGAAGCTCTCCACCACACCTGGGTCTGTTCAGGAGTGTAGAAGCTGCTCTGGGTGGAATTCCCATCACGGTCCCAGTGTCAGACACACTGCTGCTGGGAGGCTATGTGAAATATAAAGAAACAGCAAATATATTTGTAGTTGTTTTTAAGAGCAGCAACACACGTGTAACAATAAGCTAAAATAATTACATGTTAAAACTAGAAGGTAAAGAGAGACAGATGGTTAAAAATAACTCACCTACAAGACTTCTAGCCTGTACCGGTGCAGGCGGAGGGCTGGTGGAGGACTACATCAGTCTGACAGCAGATTTATTGGGCAGATTTAGCCTAAAAATAATAATAACATCACCTTGTTGTGGGAGTTTAGTAACTTAGATTGTGTACAAAACAGTCTAATATATGTGCTTTATAACATGGCTGGTGAGTGATCGGACTGCTCTCAGAGCTAACTCAGGGTCCAGAATCAGACATGTTCTAATGAGAACCGGACTCAGCACCAGTTCAGAACCGGGTCAGCTTTTTAGCAGAAGGAGGAGCTACTCGTCAGTGTCCCTCCTGCTCTGCATCAGCGCTGATATTACTGGAACCAGTCTGTGACATTATAACATAACACTCGCTTCGAGCCTGTGGCAGTGTGGGCTGATTGTCTAAATTACGTGAACCACGTCTCTCTTACTTTGCATTTATAAATATAGCTGCAAAATTACAGGTAGGGAAAGATCTTTAGAAGCTATGAAAAGTAATTATTTAGCTTACTCACCTCAAATTGGGCCCAAAATCTCCGTTATGAGGAAGAAGTAGTTGACGGGATCCACTGGTGTCAAGCCAGCCTCCAGTTTATTGTCGCTTCCCCGTCTATTCAAGGTATTACGGGAAGGGATGTGGATACCGGATTTCAAAATAAAATTCAACTTCGAGTGAATTATCAGATATTTTAAGAACATAATAACAAATAATTTAGGCTTGTTCACTATTAGCTCCCTGTCAACATCAAGGCCATCTTATTTTAAATTTCAAATTAAAAGCCCTTTGAAGTTTCATTTTTCAACTTCTCTTTCAATGACTTCAGAATGCTCGTAAAAGCAAAAGTCATATTTCCATAGAGTAGTTTCATTTTGTATCAACACTATCCAACCACAACAATTTGAAATTTCCCATATTTGACCGACTCTTTTAACAATTTCAAAAAGCTTTAAAATGGAAAATTGCTGTTTCCACAGGGTAATTCCACTTTAGATCAACAGTATACAACCCCACAGTGCTACTGTATCAATATCAAGTCATTCTAATGTTGCCTTCCAAAATAAAGGCCTTTTAAAACTGCCCATATACAACCAAACTTTCAGTGAATTCAAAATGCTCTAAAATGGAAAATTGCTGTTTCCACAGGGTAATTTCACTTTTGATCAACCGTATACAACCCCACAGTGATACCTTATCAATATCAAGTTATTCTGATGTTGCGTTTCAAAATAAAGGCCTTTTTAAATTGTCCATAATTGACCTACCTTTAATGATTTCAAAATGCTCTAAAATGGAAAGTTGCTGTTTCCACAGGGTAATGCCACTTTAGATCAACAGTATACAACCCCACAGCGATACCATATGAATATCAAGTCATTCTGATGTTGCGTTTCAAAATAAAGGCCTTTTTAAATTGTCCATAATTGACCTACCTTTAATGATTTCAAAATGCTCTAAAATGGAAAGTTGCTGTTTCCACAGGGTAATGCTACTTTCGATCAACAGTATACAACCCCACAGTGATACCATATGAATATCAAGTCATTCTGATGTTGCATTTCAAAATAAAGGCCTTTTAAAATTGCCCATAATTGACCTACCTTTAACGATTTCAAAATGCTCTAAAATGGAAAATTGCTGTTTCCACAGGGTAATGCCACTTTAGATCAACAGTATACAACCCCACAGCGATACCATATCAATATCAAGTTATTCTGATGTTGCCTTCCAAAATAAAGGCCTTTTAAAACTGCCCATATACGACCAAACTTTCAGTGAATTCAAAATGCTCTAAAATGGAAAATTGCTGTTTCCACAGGGTAATTTCACTTTTGATCAACAGTATACAACCCCACAGTGATACCATATGAATATCAAGTCATTCTGATGTTGCGTTTCAAAATAAAGGCCTTTTTAAATTGTCCATAATTGACCTACCTTTAATGATTTCAAAATGCTCTAAAATGGAAAGTTGCTGTTTCCACAGGGTAATGCTACTTTCGATCAACAGTATACAACCCCACAGTGATACCATATGAATATCAAGTCATTCTGATGTTGCGTTTCAAAATAAAGGCCTTTTTAAATTGTCCATAATTGACCTACCTTTAATGATTTCAAAATGCTCTAAAATGGAAAGTTGCTGTTTCCACAGGGTAATGCTACTTTCGATCAACAGTATACAACCCCACAGTGATACCATATGAATATCAAGTCATTCTGATGTTGCGTTTCAAAATAAAGGCCTTTTAAAATTGCCTTGATAACTTGATATTTATATGGTATCACTGTAGGGTTGTATACTGTTGATCTAAAGTGAAATTACCCTGTGGAAACAGCAACTTTCCATTTTAGAGCATTTTGAAATCGTTAAAGGTAGGGCAATTATGGGCAATTTAAAATTTTTTTATTTTGAAACGCAAAATAAGAATTACTTGATATTGATATGGTATCACTGTAGGGTTGTATACTATTGATCAAAAGTGGAATTACCCTGTGGAAACAGCAACTTTCCATTTTACAGCATTTTGAAATCACTGAAAGTTTGGTCGTATATGGGCAATTTAAAAAGGCCTTTATTTTGAAACGCAACATCAGAATGACATGATATTGATACTGTATGACTGTGGGGTTGTATACTGTTGATCAAAAGTGAAATCACCCTGTGGAAACAGCAATTTTCCATTTTACAGCATTTTGAAATCACTGAAAGTTTGGTCGTATATGGGCAATTTTAAAAGGCCTTTATTTTGGAAGGCAACATCAGAATGACTTGATATTCATATGGTATCACTGTGGGGTTGTATACTGTTGATCTAAAGTGGAATTACCCTGTGGAAACAGCAGTTTTCCATTTTAGAGCTTTTTGAAATCGTTAAAAGAGTCTGTCAAATATGGGAAATTACAAATTGTTGTGGTTGGATAGTGTTGATACAAAATGAAACTACTCTATGGAAATATGACTTTTGCTTTTACGAGCATTCTGAAATCATTGAAAGAGTAGTTCAAAAATGAAAATTCAAAGGGCTTTTACTTTGAAATTTAAAATAAGATGGCCTTGATATTGACAGGGTGCTAATAGTGAACAAGCCTAAATTATTTGTTATTATGTTCTTAAAATATCTGATAATTCACTCGAAGTTGAATTTTATTTTGAAATCCGGTATCCACATCCCTTCCCGTAATACTTTGAATAGACGGGAAAGCGACAATAAACTGGAGGCTGGCTTGACTGCAAGTCTCCAACTGGAGGCTGGCTTGACACCAGTATTGTAATGAGGGAAAACCAAAATGATTGGATCCTTTTCTGACCTTCCCCACCTACAAAGTTTAATTACAACAATTATATCGAACGTGACAGAGCCTGGATTTGTATTCTGAACAGTCTAAACATGTTTTAAAAAGAAACGTATGACAAAAGTGGCACCTGCTCAGTAAAACCACCAACAGGGTGAAAAATATCAAAATATTGTAGGCAGAGACGGGCTACAACTTCTGGATCCATTTTATATAAATCTTTTTTTTGATTATCGTCTTATGAAAGATAACTTTGACGTACACGAGCGACCGGTACCGGCTGCTGTCACCTGTTGTGGGCAGCTCTCTGCTGTCTGAGGGTAGGCCCCGCCCACAACGCCGCGGCTGCTGTGGCTCCGTGTTTTCTTTACTGTGGGAAACGGGTAATAATGGCTCTTTGATGGGAACAGGTTGCCGACCCCTGGTCTATGTCCATGCGAGGACAATAAAGTTTTGAGGTTTTACAATTACTTCTGGGCAGGGCCGGCTTTGCCGACAGGCGACACAGGCGGGCGCCTGGGGCGCCATCTGATGGATAGGGCGCAAAAAAAAAATAAATAAATAAATAAATAAATAAAAAATAAAAAGTTTATTAAATTTATGTTTGTTATATGAAATGCACTCTCTACATACTCAAAATTCCCCTCTGAAATGACATGAAATTAAAACATCAATATTTAAATTCTAATGATCTGGCTGCATGACGAGCTCCCGCTTGGGCCACCGCTCCGATGCATTTGACCGTTAAGGGTGCCGTAGATCACGTGCGTGGGTGGCACTGTAGAAGGACATCCTGTTGTCGTCGCGTTTAAACTTTTGGTATTTTACATGAAAAGAACACCTAAGCCATCGGGATCAGCATTCCCAAAGCGAAGGAAGGAGGAAGAAAAAAAACGGGCCCAAAGCAAAGGTATGTAGACTTTATAAATTTGGCAAAGGAACTTTTTGCTTTACCATTGTAGCTAACTGCCTCTCCTGCCACGCACGGTCCACGGACGGACCCTCGCTGTTTACATTCACAATACAGTATCTCGTAACTTTAACCAATTATTTTTACTTTTGAATCGTTGTGTCCAGATGCAGTGAGACAATATCTGCAGCCTGTCGACAGGTACCTGTTGACACCACGGGTGTGGGACTGTCTTCTACACCTGTTGAGTCTCACTGTGATGATGAAGAATGTAAGATTTATTTTTACCGTTTTTTCGAGTATGATTGCAGCCTTTTATGAACTTTGTTTCAAGTTTTAAGTATGCATACTGTGTTGTCTTGCTTAATCTCATAATAAGCAAACGAGGCGTGAAAACTCCTTTTCCAGATCTTTATTTAGCACTAGCCACCACTACTGTATCATCCATGCAGTTTCCCTCCTAATCTACTCCCTGCCTTCTGGGTAATTGAGTTCTTTCTGAACTATCTCATAACATCACATCTTTCTCCCTATAGAACAATAATAATTATCTGTTAGGATGCAACCTTCCTGACGAACATCATAACCTTACTGACAAATGACTCCTCCACCTGGAACAAATAAGCATTCAGCTTCTCTCTACATTTTTTTTTTTTTTTTTTTTTTAGAACACCTTGCCACATTTACTCTAACAACTCTCAATTAGTCTCTTAGGTGGCTGAACATGTCTCTTTGGTCTCACCAGTCTTTCACCCTGTGGTGATGTCATAGTTTTCAAAAGTCTCTCAGCAGCAGGTGACGCAGAATCCTGTGACGGGCCACTTCTAGCGTCTTCTGACCCTCTGTTTACTGACTCTGTAGATTTCTCCTTGTCCTGCTGCACTGTCTCCTGAGATTCTGTGTCTTTTCCTTCTGGATGTAGCTGAAGGTCTACTCGATTTCTCCTCAGGGACACTCCACCCTCCATCTGGATCTTGTATGAACGTGGCGCCACCTCCTCCTTCACCTGACCTTGATGTCTCCAGGTCCCTGTAGTAATGTCTCTGAGACGCACCTTGTCTCCTGGCTTCAAGGAAGGCAGGTGTCTCGCCTTGCGATCATGCAGCTGTTTTTGTTTCACCTTTTGTCCATCCTTTGCTTCCTTAACTTTATGTGCAGTTTTTGGCGTCAGCAGGTCCTCATTGACTGGCAGGTTGGAACGAATACGTCTCCCCATCAGCATCTGAGCTGGTGACATTCCATTCTGCAACGGTGTGCTTCTATAGATCAGTAGGCTCTTCTGAAAATCCTCTCTGTCCTGAGCTTTTTTCATTAATGTTTTTATTATCTTGACAGAGCTTTCCGCTAAGCCGTTGGACTTTGGATATATGGGGCTTGATGTTGAGTGTTGAAACCCCCATTCCTTAGC